GATATCTATTAAGTACTATGTCGGCTAAGTTAGTTTTAAGAATAAGCCTACAATATTGACCTAGCGGCACACAAAATTTGATTAATAAAACAAGCAAAGGGCCGTACGTCCTGCTATAATATATATATATATATATATATATATATATATATATATATATATATATATATATATATATATATATATATATATATATATATATATATATATATATATATATATATATATATATATATATATATGTATATATGTATATATATATATATATATATATATATATATATATATATATATATATATATATATGTATATATATACATATATATATATATATATATATATATATATATATATATATATATATATATATATATACATATATATATATATATATATATATATATATATATATATATATATATATATATATATATATATATATATATATATATATATATAAATGTTTATTTATATATTTTACATACATGGGTTTTACAAAGTTTTAATATAACTAGTGTTTCTCTATTTAGGTGTAAGTTTAAAAATAAATATAAAAATTAAACTTTTATGAATGTTATTAATTTTTCATACAGAAACACTAACTTTGAATTGCATTTTCAATAGGTCCCATTTTGGAAATGTTCGTAGCCCTGGCATAAACTACATTAACCAACAACTGAGACCAGACGTGGCTGGAGAAAAATACTGGATAAAAAGTTATTGAATACAAATTGTGTAGCTATAAATGTGTTTGTGTGTTCATTTTTTACATATGCATAACTGCATCTGGTTCGTATGAGTCTGCTCTTGTTACGCTTGTTCATTGTATATGTTGACGCATTTCTGTATTAGGAAAATACTAGTCTTGGGACGAATTGGCCAAGAGGTAGAGAGTAAGACCTCCACTGGAAAGGTTGAAGTTCGAATTCGGGTTTAAGTCAATGTAGCGTTAGTGAGTCCACCAATCTCTGCCTGGCACCTATCTCACTGTAGAAAGAGTAAGGAAGCTAGACATCAAGCTGACCATATTATCCCTTTTATGCCAACGAAAGACACAAATGAGTTTTACTTCCTGTGCCGAATAGATCGTTAGTTTAATGGAGGAATCTTTACATTTTTTAATATTACTAGTCCACTTGCAATAGGGCTGGTAAGTAGGTCACCAACAAGTTCTATATGGCTCATGCGGGTTTTATTGAGCCGTAGAACTGGTTGGTGACATACTTACCAGCCCTATTCACAACAGTACAATAATTTTACTTTTATTTTATCAAGTAGTATTGTCAGTACATAATTTTATACTTTGGTCTACAATAAAGCGAGGAAAACTAACGTTTTTACAACTCTCTTTACGACTTCTAAATGATGATTAATAAAAATTATTGTATTTTCATAGCATTATTATTAAGTGGCACTGCATTTAAAAAAAAAAATTATGTGAGTAATAAAGTGTTTCTCAGTTGATGATGTTGTGATGTCGTGCGTGGCACACATTGGTAATGTGGTAACTATGTGTAGGCAATATATGCATAGTTACAGAGTGGTAGATTGTGAAGGAAACTGTGGTTTATGACTATTTAAAAAAAACGCGTTCTTAAGCAGTAAGGGGGGGGGGGGGGTGGGTGGGGGTGAGAGCGGAATTTCATTATTGCTTACTTTAAATATCCCATGTTCGAGCCACAATCAAACAATTACTGCATTACACTATGCCGCTAATCGGATGAGGTTTGTTAGCTGAAGACAGCAACATATCTCCACAATCGAACAAATCCTGCAATACCTTTATGTACAGAGAAAAAAACAGGCGGAAATAGTCAACATTGGACACGTAATTCTATAGAGTATTGAAAGATAATTACCCGAATAGTAACGTTACGAATATACAACACCAAAACAAAAACACTAAACTTAATACTCTGTCAAACACGCTAGTCTTATAAAAATGGATTTTTTTAAATAGTGACATTTAGCATGCAACATCGTCTGCATTGAATTTAACAAACAATTACATTTATGCATAATGTATATATAAGGTATGTAAACTGTTTATGAAACAATTGACACTTATGTATGATCACATATAAATTACCCAATAAAACATAATATGTAAACGAAACATGCCATTTTTTTTAGTGTTTTAGTCTAATTAGTTTGTATTTGCGCAGTTTTCCGATTGCGCATTTGTCTGAGAGCCTCTTTGTAAATAAATGGGTATTACAGTACAAAATGGTTCTGAACAGTTCAAGATATTTTTTCTCATTAGGTGCTCAGTTTATTTATTATTTTCTAAAATTTTTCCATAATATAGCCAAAACTAATTTACTGTGGATCAGTAACGTTTTAATTAACTCTAATGTTACAAATATGTTTTACATTACTGTATGGGTAGTCTCTGAAAGTAATTCTTCGTAACGTAGCCAGTATTCATTACAAGTGGATTAGTTAGATTTTATTTAGCTGTGTTATTAAATATAACTTTGATATTACTGTATGGTTAGCATTGACTCAGAGATTAGCTTCATTTTAACACTCCCTCCCCTTCCGTCTACCCTTATCCTAACTCTAACCCTCATTACTAAATTATATTACAAGAGATCTTGTACATTGAAACTCTAAAGCAATTCCAATACACAAAGCACTACACCATGATAATAATAATGAGAAACGTATTTGCAACACCTTGCATATGGAAAATGTTTCAAAGTAAAATGGTGTTGTTATTTCGAACCCTTACCCTAACCCTAACTTTAACCCTAACTTTAACATTAACCCTAACCCAAACCCAAACCCTAACTGACCTTAGGCTATGACCGGGGGTTATTGTCCTACTAGGCGGAGGGTAATTGACAGGGGGTAGTTATATCGGGGGGGGGGGGGGGGTAATTGACGGGGTGGTATTGCCATGTTCCCAGTGGCTATGTGGTCAGAACATGACACTTCTATATCGTAAACGTACCTGTTCTGGTCTTAATTTCTCGTCCAACACACCATTCAGCCCCTCAAGTATAATTCTAGCAAGGGTAAGTTAATAGTGCGAATCGTCTCCAATTGTTGCACTGAGTGGCTGTAACATTCGTCTGTACTGCTAGAACCACACCCTCCATACGTCATCAGTCCCCTACCCTACAGTGGCTAACCACCACCAGATGCTCACCTTCGCACTTAGACGCGAATTGTATTCGGCGTGGCCTAGACTCCCACGACACCTCGCCAGCACGTGTTTGTTATTTAATCAATAAAAAATCGACCAAACTGCTCAGCCAATACAAATCGTACACATGCACAGCCAATACAAATTAGACATGCTATAGACTTATAAACTTAATCACTTGTTTCGCAAAACTACCCTACGTATGTTAGGTAAGTGTGATATATAATTATATATATATAATTATATATATATTTACATATATATATATATATATATATATATATATATATATATATATATATATATATATATATATATATATAATTATATATATATATATAAGTATATATATATAAGTATATATATATATATATATATATATATATATATATATATATATATATATATATATATATATATATATATATCCTAATATATAATAGCCCATGTGCGCACTTCTCTCTCTCTCTCTCCCTCTCTCTGTCTGTCCGCAAAATATTTTCGCCGGACATCACGTCAGAATCTGCAGCTATATATGAAGAACTTTATACGGACTGTTGTTGAAAATAATATGCTAGATGTTTTAAATGTATAACCACAATTTTATTTAAAGAAGAAAAATAAAAAATAAAGGCGTATTCGAATGTAGAAAAACAATTTTAATTATGTAACCTGAAAAATGTTTATACTTGGGACAAAAACACATTTAACAATGACGTCGCTTATTGTTTACACTAAAAAAAAAGAGCACGAAACTGATGACGTCATCTTCCGAGTTTAGAATGAAATAAAGAAATGAACTATTTTATTCAAATATGATTTAGAGCTAGATTCTACGTACGCTATTAAATGTATACAATACCATTTTCTCGGCCTAAACTTTTATAAGTTTTTACTTCATCTATTTAAATTCTAGATATAGATCTAGATCTCGATTCTAGATCTAGACTAGATCTAAGGAAAAACTAGACGTAGACGCTAATATCTGGATTTAGACTATCTACTAAAATCAACATAACTACCATTGAACGGCCGGGTTTTTAAAGAAATCTTTTAAGTATCTTAATTTCAAGTCTCTTAATCAGCGAGTGCATTTAATATGGTATCATTGGTATGGTTAGTGGTTACCGATGAAGAAATGAACTATTTCATTTAAATCTATAGATCTATTCATAAAAACCTAATAAAAATAAATCACTTTAAAAACAAAAAGAATACCTTGGAATAGCCGAGTTTTTAACGGAATCATTTAAGTCACTTAATCAGTGTGTGCCTGTGTTATGTTAAATGTGTCGGATTTTTAGCTAATTAGTTATTTCTTTGCTTTGTCGGTAATATCGTTCAGCGTGTAGTAATGCACATTGCGTTTTGACCAATAACTATTTTATAAATTATTTTTCTCAAACAAGTTCAAAATTTAAAAATATATAGGCCTATAATTCACGTGAAACGGGTACCGATGGCCAGTATATATATATATATATATATATATATATATATATATATATATATATATATATATATATATATATATATTTATATATATATATTTATATATATACATTTATCTATTTATTTATTTATTTATTATAATGTTTTTATTTATATTATATGTATTAAATCGGCACACAATTATAATTTAAACTTACAAAAAGTATTGCAAGGACTTGTTTGAACGAAGTAATATCTTTAGTTAGCTTTTGATGAAATAGTTAATGATGAAAGAATGTGTATTGGGGTGAAAAGCATGAGCGTGAAAGTGAACTTTGAACGTAGAGCATTCATTTCAATCAAGCAGTTTGTAAGAATTCTATAGAAAGCAACAGCTAAACAAATGTGTACCAATATTTTAGGTGACACAGGATTCAAGTCGGCTGATAAAAAACGGTAAGAAAAGTGAGGAAAGAGAGTTTCTGTTAGTAACGTTTCATTGCAAGGAGTAACGTGTTCAGATACCTGGTGACTAATGTAAAGTGATATGTACGGTCAGTGGCGTATAAGTCGGTATTTGATGATATGGTCAGTTCTGCGTAAGGTATTATGTAAGTATGGGGTATTTGCTCTATGGAAAAGTTACAAAGGAGAGTTATTGCAGTGTTAGACGTTGTGTAAGGAGAGGTTTTGAGGCGTGTAATGTGTTACCAGCAGAAGGTCAAAGCCTTAAAAGGTATTATGTATGTCGATAATCAATGCCGTGTAAAGAGTTATGTTGTTACGTTTTAGGCCTTATAAACGAGATGGTGATGTAAGGATACGATCGTTGTCACGTAAAAGTTATTTAAGGATTCGTCGGAGCTGTGTAAGCAATTACATAGGAAGATGGTCAATAATGTATACGTTTTTATGTAATGAGACGTTCTGTGTCGTGTAAGGTGGTATGTAAGGGAAACTAGGCTAAGCAGAATCAGCAGTATATTTTGCATGGTCTCATGTCTAAAGCCAATTATGATAAGACGATGTCTTTGTTAATTGTGAATGGCCTTGATCTGGATTCTTTTGCAGTTGTATTCTTACGGTTTACAAAAATTTTTATTACTGCTACACCATGCTTGATGCAAACCCTTTACACTTTTTTTCATCAATGGTAGCCACTACATCACAGTTAGATGTGTGCATCTATTTTTAGCGAGTGTTTTGTTCTACCCATTATCGAATGAGAAACAAATTAAATCGTCTCATTGCTTATAATAAGCAGTGTTTCTTCCAGACTTTTTTCTCCGGGGGGGGGGGGGGCACTTGAAATTTTCGGGGGGTGGGGGCTGTAGATTTTCTTCGGAAGGGGGGGGGGGGCGGACACTGTTAAAAGTATCTATTTTCAATATAATTTATATAAATTTCATTTCGTTCGGGGGGGGGGGGGCGGTAGAATTTTTTCGGGGAGGCGAAGCCCCCACCCCAAAGAGATGCCTGGAAGAATCTCTGATTGCATGAATTATTGATTTAGTTGGTAAAAAATGTTTGACTTCATACTTCTACAGCAAATGGACTAACTTGAGATGTAAGGAAATTTTTTTTGAATAGATGATAAATATCACACCAATTTTAATTAATGCAATTCTGCAACTATGCGCAATTGTTAAACTTATTTCTATAATAAGAAATTTTTTTTTTTTTGGAATTGGTGATAGAAATGTAAATAACGTGTACAAATGATTTGAGGGTAACAATAGTAATATGTAAGTGTATTTATGATGAAAACAAAGTAAAAACATGTAAAATGAAATAGAAACAAAAGCAAATGAAAAATCACATGCAGGTTTTTATTTATAGTAAATAATGTATTAGCATTTTTTTTTGCTATACAACAAATAAAAACTTCTGTGCCTTGTTGGTGCAGGACAACCTGCAACTAAATGATGAAGAACCAATTGTCAATATAAATCTTGAGCCAAACATGTTCAAAATCTTGGCTGATACAACAGTTGTTGGACACAACAAAAACTTTGTAGCCCATATATATGGCCTTTTATGGTTGTAGGTCAGACTCCTTTAGCCTACGATACGTGAATGGGTCGATTTGCTCATCAATACTTAGCACAGAATTCCGATATTGGTCAACTTCTTCTGCCCTTTGAAGATTGTTTGACAGGTGTAGCTTATTCTTAATCCACTTAATCTATTGATGGTTACGTCTGTGACAGTAACATATTAGGTGACGAGGCACCATTACCTTTGGAATCTAGAATTTTTTTTTACAATGTTTATGTAAAACACAATTTCCAGGAAATGTTTTTGTTCATCTTTATCCAGTACTAGTGGATTGTTTATGTCCTGCGAGGACATAGTTTGACAGGTGTGGATTATTCTTAATCCGCTTGAATCTGATGATGGTCATGACGTATGTGACCGTAACACACTTGGTGGCAAGGCTCCAATACACTAGGCATCTTGGAGTTTTTAGAATCTTTATGTAATACACACAATTCCTAGGAAATGTTTTAGTTGACTCTTATCCAGTGCTAATGGATTGTTTGTCCTGTTGAGGACATTGTTTGACAGGTGCAGATTTTTCTTAATCCGCTTGAATCTATTGATGGTCACGAAGTCTGTAACCATAGTACATTCGGTGGCAAGGCAACAAAACATTCGGCGTTTAGGAATTTTTTACAATGTTTATGTAAAATCCAATTTCCAGGAATAACCTTTATCCAGTGCTAAAAGACTGTAGATAACATGTTAGAGGACAGTACAGGTTGGATTGATACGCAATTGTCTGAACATAGATTATCTATAAAGATGTCGTTGAAATAATCCAATAGCCACTTCTGATGTTTGGCTTCTCTCCTAGGATCAGGAAATGGTGGAACATTTGCTGTTTACTGGGACTGATCATTCTGTTGTTGCTAATGAAGACCTTGGTGTAGACAATTGAGAAGGTCCTGAGGAGTTTCATCATTTTTCGCAAATGGGCATACTCTGTAGAAATAAATTTTGAGAACATTATTTGGTTATAAATTATGCAATAATTGTATACAAAAAATTAAATGTTTTAGTTTACTAATCTACAAGCAAAACATTAAAGTATGCATTAGGGTATAATCATGATATGTTACTTCAACTGCGTCAGACAAATCTTCATCACCAACGTCCGATAAGACCCGGGTACTGTTCACGTTCTCTATCTCATCATTGGAAAACTCACTATCTTCAGAGTCAAAAGGAGTAGCTCAGCTTAGAATAGTAGAGGACTTTCAATTTAAAACTCAACTAGTTACAACAATACAAAAGCTAGGATTTTACTAAAGAAATACTTAGAATTTATTTAAATCAACTAAATTGGTACTAATGCATAAGTTATTATTGTAAATTTTTCTTTTCAGCTAGTTTAGTATAATTTTAACTAGGTTTTAACGTAATTTTATACTTACAGTTTAGCAAAGGGCAGAAATGTGTAGATCGCTTCTAACAATGTCCGATTTCAAAAAGAAAATCTTCTTCTCAAAAGAGTTGCGGTATAAAATGTATTGAAAAGTGCTATTCGAAGAAAAATAAGTTGAAAACGAAACAAAATATTAAATAATATAGTAATTGATTACTCCTAAAGTATTGTTGCAAAACTGCAACGCTATGCCATATAGGGTTAATCTAAACTCTTAATAGTATATTTAGTTGAAATAATTATATTTTAAAATAATGTAAGTATTTCACAGAAGCTTATAGAAACAAGATCAAACTTAGCAACGCGCTGATACTAAGGGAATGCTTACTTCTGAAGCGAAACGACCAATCGCTAACTAGCTTCCGCCGTTGAATGCCAATGAAAAAATTGAGGTAAAAAATATGCATACCGGAAAACCCCGACTGAGTAAAATAAACAACTTTATGACGTAGAAAAATAATCACATTAAAAAAGGTATTTTGATGGGTCCTTTAATTTTAGAACAAATAAAGAAAGGAGGTCACTGCCTTTCCATTGATATGAAAGACGTTAGGCTTCCGCGAATCCTAATAGTACTTTTTCTAGGTCGAAAAATCGCTATTTTTACCAAAAAATTAATTAATGACCCTGTACACACTACTTTAAACCGGTTTTTTCATAAACAAATAATGTTTTTAGGGTCAAAACAATGTCAATTTTAGATTCAACGATGGTTATTCTGTATAGATCCAGTAAAAGTGGGAAATCGATGATTTAGTGGATTTATGACGAAAAGTACACCCGCCCATGCCCTTAAAAAAATAATATAGTAGTTCCCCTTGAAATATTGTATATATTTGCATGTCTGTTGTGTTGATTTTGTGGTTAAATATGGTTGTTTTATATTGTTTTAATATATGCCTCTATACTAATTTCCCTTTTTTTCAATATAGTTTAAATGTATGTCTTCGTGGTGTGCATCCAAGACCACAACAATTGTTGGGAGGTCGAACTTTATTTGCAGTAATCAAATCAATATTAGATCGCTCTATTATGAAATCGCTCTTACCGAGTTAAAGTAGTTATGAAAGCGTGCACTATTAATAATACAGAACAAATATAATGATGAACATATTATTTCAGATAGATATTGTGATTTGTGGTGCGAAGAGGTTGAGTAGAACTCACCGATGTGATTTTAGATGGTTCAGGTCTTTTTGTGTGTGAAAACTGGGGATGGTTGTGGGAGAAAGAACAGCGTAGTAGTATGACGCGTCATTCATTGGCAATCCATTTTGTCAGATAAAACTATTAAGAAGGTTCAACAAATGTAAAAAGCATGCTGCGTCGCATTTATTGAACCCACCTTTTCATCCCCCACTTAGCACATCGACACCGAATTAACGCTCATGCGTGACGTCATGTATCAGTGTCGACGACTGTTAGGCTAATTTTATAGAAACAAAAAAACAAGCACTGTCGTTTTGACACTTATGCGACCTTTATTTTGATTACTTATGTTGGTATTCAATTAAACAACCTATCACCCATCCATCACTCGTCCATGACGTTTAATTTGATTACTTATGTTGATATTCAATTAAACAGCCACTCACCCATCCATAACTCGTCCATTTAAACGTACGTTGTTATTTCTGCAAGCTTGCTGTCTTGAGACTTTCGGCCCTTTAAAAATGTATTAAGCTCTTACCGTATAGAACTAGACTACCCATATTAAGCTCCAAAAGAAGCTTAATAAAAACATGATGGCTGTCCGATTTCGAAGCTGCTCTGCGCTTTATAAAAAGCCTAATAAACGATAAGATGACACTTATATTACGTAAATTATAGTTCTGAATCTTGATACATTAAAAGTGATATTCAAAAATTAAGAGACGTGTAATAGGCCAGAAAGTCAACATGATAATTCAATTTAAGTCCAAGAAATTTTTTTTTCCTCAAAAGAATGTAACATTACTAAATTTTTGCGCAGTTTCGCAAAATTGAATTAAAGTATTTACTGCATCTTACAAAGCGCGTTAGCCTACTAGTGCTCAAACGCGGCCCCGTTCGGTTCTTCGGACTCGGGCCCATGCTGATGGCCGTATTCCTAACGCCCAGTATTAGACGTAGCATATTCGTCGGCAGGCATTTGGTGGCAAGCCTTTTTGACGGGTATAAAGTGTTTGAGGCCGTTTTGCCAAACGTCTCAAACTAGCAGGCTTGCAACATTTATAACCATTCGTTCTGAGCAAGGTATACCTATACTAATGCTTATTTATCGTTATTTAGATTTAACTTAGCATTATATAGGTTCTCTTCAATGACCAAGGTATGTTTCCCCGTTCACCTTCTTTCATTAGACCTACACGTCATAAATTGCGGAGCCGCCTGAGTTGACGTCACAAATCTTTCACTCACTCCCGTAGAAAATAATATGTGACACCATTTATTGAGAGCCCCATATCACTCATTTGGGTGTTTGATATTGACATTTTCACAACAAATGATAACCAAAATGTTTATGAAAAGTGGAGACTTGGGATAATGACAACACGCACTTAAGGGTTGGAGTGGCTAATAATTTTAGATGATGTTTTACAAGGGAAGACAATCATATGTTAATACTTTTATTACGAATAGAAATAAAAGGGAAGTGTGGTGATGTAATGTGTATGAAAGGTGAATACGTGGAACGGGTCACTGCGTGTGTGTATGTAGCATGTGTGGGACGCGAGGCCGGGTGTGTTGACATGTATGTTGTTGTACGGAGTGAACGAGGGTACAAGGGAAGCGACTGGTCGGGTGACAGTGGCTGTGTTGTGAGCGGGAAAAGGTGGTGTGTAGGGATGAATGCGGACGGCAGTTGAAGGTTGGGCACGGAAGAAGACAGGTTGATTTGGTGACTGAAGGATAGAGAAATAAAGGACTGTGATATCTAACTGCAATCGTGTTGTGCATTTCTTGGATATTCATCAACCCTCACAGGAAGCTACTTTAAATAATATTTTCATAAGATGGCTGCTGTTTTTAATAGCAAATTTACCATCTCGAACAGGGTTGATGAAATTTAATTTCATGATATTTAAATTGATTTAACCATAAATGGTGATCTATTATTCAAATATCTATAATATTTTATTAAAATATACGAAAAAATACTCATATTTAAAGACACATTAATTCACTCTCCACCAAATTATTAGTTTTTGCCGAATTTACGACGCTAAACTAAGGTTTTCAAAACTGAAAAAAATATTTTTACATTAATGAGCAAAATTCAGTCATTACGTGTTTTTAAAAAGCGAGGCAGCAGTGGCGTAGGCAGGGGGGGGGGTTATAACCCCCCCCCCCCCATGGACCCCCAAAATGACTACTTTTTTACGTTAAGCTATAGCTATTGACTTGTGTCAATATTATTTAGGGCTTAAACACTAAACACTTAAGCCTGGCAGCCTCTAGAACAACAATGTATATCATTGTGATGAGAATTGCCTGTAGAATTTAGTTATGAATTTTATTATCGCGCTAAAGTAAAGTATAATAATCTGGAACGCAGTAGGCCAAGGGAAAGTTGGCCAAGGTTAGATCAGTTAAGGAGTGTCGAAAGGGAGGGGTGGGCTACGTGGGTAGGCCTTTGTTGTCTAATATGATTGTAGTGCAATCGGAAAGCGTCTAGAAATGAAAAACAAACAAAGGAATTGATTATTATTCGCATTGAGGTTCTATAATGTGTATGTTTTTACTACTTCAAACCATTTGAAATTCATTTCACTTAATTTTTAAAAAGATAAGTAAACTGAAAATGATAAAGATGGCAGAGGGAGGAGTAGGCAGGGGTGAGGGGAGGGGGGGTAGAACCTTCAAAATGACAATCCTTTACGTTAAGTTACAGCTATTGACGACGATGGACTTGTGTCGCTATCATTCAGTGCTTAAACAACAAACACTAAGGGTCGCAATAGGCGAAGGGAAAGCTGAACAAGGTTATCAGTTAAGGGGTGTAAAAGGGGGTGAGGGTGGGATGAATATTGGTACGTATCAATTATAAAATACTACCGGATGCACATCTGGCAGGAAGGCGTGGGCTTGACCCACAATTGTTGACACAAAACTTTGTGTTGGTAGGCTATATAAAAAAAAATGCGTATTTGGTTAAATATAGATGTAAAGCCAGGAACCTACAGTAGTCAATTTAGACAGAATAGAAGACCAATAATAATTTGCTTTCTTCTTCGTATAGTCGTGTTTTAATGTGTATCTTTTAACCACTACAAGCAATTTAAATTCATTTTAATGATGGCGGAAGGAAAAAGGAAATTAAAAACTACTTTATTAACTGATTTCTTTACAAAGAAAAATAAAACTGAAAATGATAAAAATGAAGATGGTACTATTGCTTTTCAAAGTACATTACATCAAGAAATTTCCATAAATTCAGCACCTTCGACTGTTTCTTACGCAAATGATATCGGCAATTTTATCAAAGGAGTTATAACAGACGATACACGGTTGTATTTATTAGAAAACATCTGGCGACCTGATGAACTTTAAAAATTTCCAGCAAGCGGACAAAGAAATTTAAAGTTTCAATATTTGTGGCTACTTAGGTGGAACTGGTTGACTTATTCCAAATTACTTGATGGCGCATTTTGCAAATATTGTGTTTTGATTAGTTTGAATTATCGTGGTGTAGGTAGTCAGCCTATGGATAAGCTATCAAAAATTTCATTTTCAAACTGGAAAAAGGCAACAGACACGTTTAATGAGCACCAGCAATGTGAGTATCATAAAAGAGCAATTTTACTTTCCCAAAATCGTAAATCGGTGATGGAGAAAAAAAATTAACTTATTAAAATCTCCTTAAATTTAGCATAAGTCAACAAATTCAAGAAAATCGTTTAAAATTAGCGCCCATAATAGAATCTATAATATTTTGCGGCCGACAAGGAAATTTTTAGTTGGAGAAAACTGCTGAAAATGATGGAAATTTGATTTTTATAATTTTTTTACGATAGTGTACATGTGTTACTTGTTACAAAACAATAGCTAATACTAAGATAAGTTAGTCGGTGGCACCCACGAGTTTCTATTGTCACCAGCCACCAATACTTTACACGCACGCACTTACACATGCATATGTACACACACACACACACACACATATATATATATATATATATATATATATATAAATATATATATATATATATATATATATATATATATATATATTACGGTCAAAGCCCGAAGTGCGGCCAAACCCCCAAAGGCCGGCCAATCCGCGCATTGGCCGGCTCTCTTGGCCAAAGCCCGAAGAACTTAGCACTAAGATCGTATTTCGTACATTGGCCGGGACGTACTGGCCAAAGTCCGAAGCGCTTAAACTTGACAGCGTATTTTGTACATTGGCCGGCCAATGCGCGCACTGGCCGGGATGTCCTGGCCAATGTTCTATCTAGACTAAGTTGTGATCGCATTTTCATTATTCTGGGTGCGTTTTCATTGAGAGTAACGTATTGTTTAGCTCTTGTTTGTATATCATTCTATATGCAAGTCGACATGGATCAAAAGGGCCGTCAGACCATGATACAGACATAGCAGATGGCTGTCAAAAGAAAAAAAATGTAAATCCATGTTAGTTTCCATATATGGGCTCTCGATAAAATAGTTAATGAGGAAGATCTTGAGAACATTGAACAAGAAATGGAGGTTGCCATAAATGCAACGACATCCACAGCTAACACATCTACTGGCATGGCAGAACGCCCAGACCAGTTGCGTGACAATAATGTGGCCAACAGATTCTATTTAGTTTGTGAAAAATATTGTAGTGCAGCTCATTCTTTTGGATCCTGTGGCAACGATGTCCATGCTATTTGTGGAATACCCAATGAAGCAGACGAAGGGTACGGAGGGAACATTACCTGCAGATTGTGTCACAACAAACAAGCCATCATGGAACACAGATCAGCAGCTCATACTAGCTTGCAAACTCAAGGTGCTAAGATGCTTAAAACATCAAATAAAAAATTTAAAGATGGTGAAGTGGGTTACAATGTACGCATCTGTTTTCCAGATGTTGACAGAGGTCACGGTGATCCCCGAAGCGTGATTGCAGTTGTCATGAGCGTCGAGGGCGGTTTCTACAAATTAGGAACGGAACATGGTGTTCTAAAACAACTGTATGCTAGTAGTGAGTTTTCAATTCTTCACGAAAAACTGCTCTTGTTGTCGTCAGTTGACACTGAGGAAAATTCACTACGAACCATCGCATCTTCACAATCATTGACTGGATGCCAAGGCTACACTCGCTGCAATTGCACAACTAAGTGCACAACAAATCGCTGCAAGTGTAAAAATAACAAGCTGCTATATCATTCTAAATGCCATAAAAGTTCAACTTGTAACAAATGATGATATTGATAGATTGAGACTATAGTACAATAAAAATTTGAATGTTTCTGTCATTTACTTTAATTAATAATCAATAAAGACTTAATTTCATGATCCTTACAGCATAAAAAAAACCAAAATATGCTCATGATCTTCTAATTAAGACTTTGGCCGGTCCACCATGGCCAGTCCGCGGACTGGCCGGCCAAAGGCCGAAATCAAGAGCTATTTCAGACTTTGGCCGGTCCACCATGGCCAGTCTGCGGATTGGCCGGCCAAAGGCCGAAATCAAGCAAAGTTTCGGACTTTGACCGACATATGGGAGGCGATATTGGCCAATGCGCGGATTGGCCGGCCAATCCTAGCATTGGCCGACTTCGGGCTTTGACCGTAACATATATATAAAATGCTGGAAAAAATTTGAACCCTCCCCCCCCATGAGACGATCCTGGCTACGCCACTGCGAGGCAGTATAAAATATTTATTTTCTAAATAATTTTAACTTTGTTCTGTGATTAAAGCAATGTTTATTGAAACTAGAAACAACACAAAGCCAACTAAGATGAACATCTCACTTCGCCAGCTGATGAAACTGATCGCCATTATAATGGTTATGCTAGTTTGCCCATCCAGGTAAATATAAACAAAAAGTGAGGACGGTGGAAAAACACTCAGACGATCACTAATTTGGATCCGGCGCATTCGCCGGTTCCAGTACAGGATAAAATTTCGCGCTTCGGGCTATCCCGCGACCTCTATGGCGTCTCCGTTCGTTTGAAATTAAGCAATAGAAGATGGATACAATGGAGCATTAAAATTGTTCACTTAGATGAAACAGGCGCATCCGCCGACGCCCGATATTGTGCGATTTGGCGCTTCGGGTTATCCCGTGAGCGCCATGGTGCCTACATTCGTTTTAAACAGTGCGTTAAACTATGGATAAAATTGAGGTATTATTGTTGTTCTCTAAATTGAATAAGGCGCGTAGGTTGAAATTTTGCGCCTACGAGTAACCTACAATATTGACACGATGGCACACACATTTCGATTATTAAACCTAGCTAAGAGCCGTACGCGGCGCACCTGCGGTAGTGTAATTGGGGGCAGTGGCGTAGCGAGGTCGGGTGTAACCCGATGAGGCACTTAATTGTGTCACCCCCCCAGAGGCGTAGCGACCCTTCCCGGCGCCCTGGGAAAAACTTTCAATTTTTTACTTTCACCACCCCCCCCCCTCAAACTTTCAATTTATTCACACACCCCCCCCCCCCCTCCTCCACCCTTAACCTTTTTTTAAAATTTACTCTTGAAAAACTTTTTAGCACTCAAATTATATATTTAATTATTTAATTAAGTGGAATTATCATTTTTCTCTCTATATTTTGCTCTTTTTTTTTTTGCCTCGGTGTCACCCCCCTAAATGGTGTCACCCGGTGCAATCCGCACCCCAAGCCCCCTCCTCGCTACGCCACTGATTGGGGGCTCCAAGAAGCGCCCATCTACGTACCTGAACTCTGGACGGTCGCCGAAGAATGTTCTACCATACAATTATGGCGAGTTATTAACGTAGACTCACGTGTTTTATTCAGCACGCGTATTAAGCAGTAGAGGATGCAAACATGTGCCCCGACAAATATGAATTAAGAAATATAGCGAAGGTAACCTACATAGGTTTAACATTTTTTAAATGTAATACTGCTTCTCTATTCTACGTAGGTGTAAGTTTAAAAATAAATATTAAAAACTAAAATCATATGAATGTATTTTATTGAATTTTTATATGGGAATACTAATTTTAAATTGCATTTTTATTAGGTCCCAATTTTATCGATTTGGTCGTAGTGCTGACAAAATTGAGAGTAACCAACTACTGACAAGAGACATGGCTGGAGAAAAATAACTTGATTAGAAATGTCAAAATAAAAATGTGTAACCTGATATTTGTTTGTGTGTTCATTTTTACCTATGCATAACTGTATCTAATTTGTGAGAGTCTTCACTTGTTAGGCTAGTTCATTTCAGGTCAATCTGTTGACTATTTCTTTATCAGCATATAACAAGCGGGGACGACTCGGCCTAGCGGTAGAGTGTAAGACTGCCACTCGAAAGTATCAAATACGAATCCTGGTTTAAGTCACTGGTACGTCAGTGAGTTTACCCGCTATGTTGGGCACCTAACTCACATTTGGAAAAGTAAAGGCGGCTGGACAACTTGCTGACCATATCCGTTTTATGCCGAGGTCAAGAAACAAATGAGTTCAACCTCCTCTTCCAAATGGATCGCTAGTTTAAAAGAGAAATCTTTACAATTTTTTTAATATTATTAGTCCACTTGCAATTCACACAAACAAGTTGGTGATGTCGTGCTGTCTAGCGGGCACACACTGGTAAATGTGTAGATTGTGAAGGAACTGTGGTTTAGGGGTAATCCATAAATGACGTCACGCTTTTTTTGACGATTTTTTACCTCCCCCCCCCTCCCCTCCGTCACACGTCGTCACAAAAAGCCAAACCCACCCCCCCCCCTAAAATGACGTCACACCTCAGTCTACAAGCCCCCTCATAATTGCTGTTGAATTTTTATTAAACCATCGATATTTTTCCAAACTCTTGTCAGAACTCGATCAATTCCTATTACAATTTATTAAAACGCGAAATAAAGGCGAAAACTCGTTTTCTAACATTGCTTTTTTTTTAAATGAAAAAAGTGACGTCACACCATCTAAACTCACCCCCCTCTCCCTCATCACACAGGGCCACAAAATTACGGACCCCCCTCCCCCTTTCGAGTGTGACGTCATTTATGGACGAGACGACCGCTTAATGCTGTTTCAAAAACTGCATCCTTCTACAGTATAGGGGGCGGGGGCGGAGATAGCGCAAAACATTATTGCTTACTTCAAATATCCCATGTTTGAGCCCGCTTGGTGGGCGAAGTTCGATATCTAAACTCAACAACATATTTCCACAGTCAAACAATTACTGCGTTACACATTGCCGCTTGGTGGACGAAGTTCGTTAGCTGAACACAACAACATATTTCCACAGTCAAACAATTACTGCGTTACACATTGCCGCTTGGTGGACGAAGTTCGTTAGCTGAACACAACAACATATCTCCACAATCAAACAATTACTGCGTTACACATTGCCGCTTGGTGGACGAAGTTCTTTAGCTGAACACAACAACATATCTCCACAATCAAACAATTACTGCGTTACACATTGCCGCTTGGTGGACGAAGTTCGTTAGTTGAAGACAACAACATATCTCCACAATCAAACAATTACTGCGTTACACATTGCCGCTTGGTGGACGAAGTTCGTTAGCTGAACACAACAACATATCTCCACAATCAAACAATTACTGCGTTACACATTGCCGCTTGGTGGACGAAGTTCGTTAGCTGAACACAACAACATATCTCCACAATCAAACAATTACTGCGTTACACATTGCCGCTTGGTGGACGAAGTTCGTTAGCTGAACACAACAACATATCTCCACAGTCAAACAATTACTGCGTTACACATTGCCGCTTGGTGGACGAAGTTCGTTAGCTGAACACAACAACATATCTCCACAGTCAAACAATTACTGCGTTACACATTGCCGCTTGGTGGACGAAGTTCGTTAGCTGAAGACAACAACATATCTCCCCGATCAAATAAATATTGCATCACAAATAGTCGCTTGGTGAACGATGGCGTCGGCAGTTTAGATATAGAATAAAAAATACAGGCTGAAATAGTGAGTTAAGGGGCTATAATCCGCATAATATTTTGTAATGTGTTCAATGGGAACAAAAGCATTCTGAGCTTGAGAGCAAATTCACTATCAACCTGGTAAAGTTGTTGTATTTTTCTGTATATATTTTGGCTAAGATGGAAGAAACATCCTTTTACCTCACACTCTGGAAATACCCTTTCAAGACTTTTTATCACAGCCATTTCAAAGTCAATCGTAATAGAAATTGGTTGCAGGTTTGTGTTTAAGACCGTTAGCTCCATTCCAGATTTGTGGAGAAATAAATTTGATGTTGTATTTATACCATGCTTCTGTGTGCCAAGGTGGATATGAACCAAGCTTCCGCCGGTGAATCTCTCAAATCTTTTATATTGTTAAAAAGTGTTGCTTTGATCCGCACGGCTCCCACATGTGGATGACCTATATCTAAGTTGTTGTCGGTGTCCGATCTTTGATCAAATACACCTAAGGTCACTCCTTGATTTCGAATAGCATTTTGTTTAGGTAGAAACTATTTTCTTAGTCGTAAAAAATTACATTAATTTAATTTAATTTTTTTTAAATTTTTTGTTTCTCATCATCGTTATTATTTCTTTAAATAAACCTCAGTCCGGGGTTGTTATACGGGTGGGTTTATGTCGCGGGGGGGTTTTTGTCCAGGGGGTTTATGTCGGGGGGTTTATGTCCAGGGGGTTTATGTCAAGGTTTTTTTTTTTTTGACCGGGAGCCATTGTGTAAGGAGCGGTTAAAAGACGTGTAATGTGTTACCAGAAGAAGGTCAGAGCCTTATAAGGTATTATGTAAGGAGATAACCAATGCCGTGTAAAGAATATTTAATTATAATGTGCCGGTTTAAACCTTATAACAAAAAGATGGTAACTGCCATATAGTATGGTATGTAAAGATTCAGTCATTGCCGTGTAAGACGAAGCTGAGTAAGAAATTACAAACAATGATGGTTAACCGTTTAAGTTTATGTAATGAGATTTCTGTGTCGTGTAAAGCGGTATGTAAGGGAAGAGTCTGTGCAGTGTAAGTCTTTATGTAATGAGAATAATAGTTATGAATTTCATGTGTTTCCTTTACTTTAGGATTATATGGTTATTATTTTGCTCCCCCTCTTCATTAAAGCAATAAGCAGGTTGATATCCATTTTTCCAGATCCGTGTCCAGATCATAGTATTCTAGTATTCTTTTTCAATTGTTCCTTACCAATAGGCTATGTATAGGTTTAAGTCAATGGCGTAGGCAAGGCGGGGAGTTACGGGGGGTTATAACCCCTTCCATGGACTCACACCCCTATATATATATATATATATATATATATATATATATATATATATATATATATATATATATATATATATATATATATATATATATAATTTTATACATATGGAAAACTATTTGAACCCCTCCCATGTCCAATCCCTGATTACGCCACTGGTATAAGTCATTCAGCCGTCATTATTATTAACGTTAATCAAATAACTATATTTTAATACAAGCTTCATACTTACCTGGCCCAACCACTGTTTCTTACAGATACAGGATAAATAAATAATTTCTTTATAAATTATGTATTACTTTAAATTTTTTCGAGATTTATGAGGAGGACTATATTAGCTAAGCTAAGCTAAGCTAATCTAAGCTAAGCTAAGCTAAGCTAAGCTAAGCTAAGCTAAGCGTTGGAGATTATCAATTCTATGTAAGAATCTAAATAAAGAGAAGGTTAGTGCCCTCTAGGTGGTTATATAAGGAGAGGTCATCTATAAGTAAGGCTATATGTAAGGAGAGATTAAGTGCCATGCAAGGCGTTATTTAAGAAAAGGGACAGCGCTACTTAAAGCTCTAGGCCTATACAATGAGAGGGTCAGAGCCGTGCAAGGCGTAAGGAGAGGGTTAGTTCTATGTAAGAAACTATCCCTGATTGAAGAAGAATTAGGAGGCCGACATTGATGTTTTCGGACAACGCGTGTCACAGATTGACTTTCAAGTCCGCTTGTGTGTATTCATTTATAGGGCTGGTAAGTAGGTCAATAAACAGTTCTATGGCTCATGTAGGTTTTATTGAGCCGTAGACTTGAATGGTGACCTACTTAGCAGCCCTATTGGGGATAAATAAATTGTGCTACATGAACCTCCAGTTACCATATAAAATCGATTAAGTTTTCTGGTTCAGGTGTTAGCTCCGAGTACGCTTTGTATAGATTAGAAATCGTTCAACTGTTATCATTTACGCTTAAATAATTACTTTATTTCAATCTATGTTATCATTGTAGCGAACTGTTAAATGCGTACCCTTTCATGTTACTTACTACAGAACATTCCACGAAAAGCTCGACCCCTTAATATCTGTAAACTGAGCTAAGCAAAGCTAAGCTATACTAAGCTGAGCTGAGCTGAGGTGAGGTGAGGTGAGGTGAGGTGAGGTGAGGTGAGGTGAGGTAAGGTAAGGTAAGGTAAGGTAAGGTAAGGTAAGGTAAGGTAAGGTAAGGTAAGGTAAGGTAGGTAAGGTAAGGTAAGGTAAAGTAAGGTAAGGTAAGGTAAGGTAAGGTAAGGTAAGGTAAGGTAAGGTAAGGTAAGGTAAGGTAAGGTAAGGTAAGGTAAGGTAAGGTAAGGTAAGGTAAGGTAAGGTAAGGTAAAGTAAGGTAAGGTAAGGTAAGGTAAGGTAAGGTAAGGTAAGGTAAGGTAAGGTAAGGTAAGGTAAGGTAAGGTAAGGTAAGGTAAGGTAAGGTAAGGTAAGGTAAGGTAAGGTAAGGTAAGGTAAGGTAAGGTAAGGTAAGGTAAGGTAAGGTAAGGTAAGGTATAAATAAATCATTATGTACAACAAGCAAAAATAAGTCAAATTATGTGGGCGGAGTTTCTATGCACTGCGAACCTAAGAAATAAGTTTAGCCCCGCCCCCCCAACCCCAACTCCCATCCCACCCCTTATAAAGCGTGGACCAATGCGTTTCAGGTATATGTTGGCATTGTATAAACCCTTTATTGAAATAAATCGATTGTATAAGCGTGAGTAATAATTACAGCTTGTTTTAAGCAAATAGAAATGCTTCGTGATTTACTACTAAATATTCCGCTCACCAGTTTAATCGCTTTCTGGTCTTCGCAAAACTCTATGAAATCTTTTAGGTAAGTGTATTTCGTAATTGTGTACCATTGTA